GCTTCAGGAGATCGTGGGTTCGATTGTCGCTGCGAACCCATGAATGAGAGTTTATATGTTAAAAGTGTCAGTCAACGCTATGCCGAAAGTCATCGGGTTTTTTCAGGCACTCCGGTTTCCTCCCACAGGACATGTTGACAGAGTGAGTCGGGATAAATCCCAAACTCTTTCGCCCTTGGTAAGCCTTCGCTGACTCGATCACGTAGAGCTGCCCAGTTCGTAATTCAGCTTAGCTAAGTTAGGATGATTAACCCTCCCCCCCCCCCCCCCCCCCAGCCTATATATAATTAGCAATTGTACTTGCTTATTTCCCAAATCGGTTTGACGTTTTTACAAATAACCAATCACATGCGAGGTTCAGATTCTGAACCTAATCTTCGTCTTGGCGTTTTCTTCGCCGCGGGAATAACTTTGCAATACTGGCTGGAATATACTCTCAAGGGTTATGTTATTGTGACTGTCATTCTCTCTTACGAGGCTCTGATCTGATTAATTAATGTTTAGAGTTTCAGAGAAAACGGCCACGCCAACTTCAGTTGTGCTTATGGCAGTGAACACTGTGGTTGGTTTCTACTGGCGACAAGTTATGATGCAAGCTATCCATATTGATTCCTACCAGTATCTCGCTGTCTGCGCTCCGATTGTCGTGCTGGGCGCCCCGCTGGGCTCAGTCATTGGCAGTCATTTCCATCGCCAAGTCCTCGCATCGTTCAACTATTTGACAGATACGGTGGCTCTAATCAGTGGATTTGTTATTGTTAAATTGGACGCCACCCTCGTTGGAGTTTCCATTGGGATCATCGCATTTGGTTTTGTCTTCTTTGGTCTACTTTGTTATTTTGGGCATCGACTGATGAGGAAAATTCTCGAGGATTTAGAGAATGAGTGTATGACTGCATGACTGTTACAGATGTGTCCAGCGCGAGATGCAAGAAGGATCTTATTGTTGAAAATGATGAGGAACATTCTCAAGGAATGAACGGCAATGGTGCAGACGGGAAGACCTCCAGAGATGCCATTGAAACTCACGAGGTAAACTCCATTCTCGAGAAAAGTGATTCTTGTGACACAACACAGTTTTAAAATAGTCATGAAACACGCAAGTATTTTTATATATTAATTATGTATATAGTCTATATATCCTGCACCTATAGACTACCAAGGACTGGGCTATCACGGTAATTAGGATAAGTCCTAAAACGTCCACTACTAAATCGCGAGTAGCACTTCAATTAAATTGTCTGGTATTTTGATATAGTTCATAAAACACCTTGCGCTCATAACGCTTTGAACCTTACATTTTTGTGCGCAAGTCATCTTTAAAGAAAACAGCCCTGCTGTACTCGAAAATTTACTTTCCAGAATAATTTGGTGATAGAGATAGCAGAAGACCCAAAACTACCCATACTAACATAGCGTTACCACAAATTCTGCCGCATTTTCAGTTTAGTGGACATTTTAGAACTGTGCACTTTTTTATACACCAGTATATTGTATAACTATATACTTCGAACCCTCCAATGAAAAATATTATCAAATATAAACATTTTTAAAATTGTATATAACATTTCATCTTGGTCAACTTTTTCACTGTCACAGTTACTGTATATGAATTCATAAGATGCAAATGCCTTTTTAGCAAATCTGGGACACTGGGATTTTTAAAATTTTCTGGGATGTATATAGATCCCCTGATAGCGCCTATTTTGGCATCTGTATTTACCCTAGGATCCGACCCTTGATGCATGTTATCTAAATTAGTTTTATATTCCAAAACGTTTTATTAAGATTGTCAGTGCACTGAAATAAATTTTTCTGTTAAAATATAGCATGATATCCAGTTTGACAACTTGTTAGTGTCACACAGTTACAGTGTCCGAGTGTCGATTTAGTAGATTATTTGCAGAACATTTTCAATGTTCTATTGCAGTCCCAGAAAGTAAAATATTTTTCCAGCCCTGCTTTTCTTTTCGGAATGACCCAAATATTATCCGTATCAAAAATCATTCATGGATGTATAAAAACCTCGACATGTTTACATATAAAACCATGATATTTAACTAAAGCATTCCGAGTATTTTCTCGTGAGCTCACAAATCACATTTTAAAAATCGTTTTAAGAAATCACATGCGCTAACAGTAGAAGTTCCGCAAATCGCTATTAGAAAAGCAGAAAATGTAAGGGCAAGCAGATTTTTTTATGGTGGTGCTGAACTTTTCGTTAAGGGATTGCTACTTGCTAGACACCACTAGGTGGGGTGCGCATCCCCCTGCACCCCCATGGTAGATCCGCCCCTGCATGTAAATGACCAAGAGGGACATACTCAAAAAATAATAAGTAGAAGAAACTTTTCTGATTTTTTACATATACATAATTACACCTACTGTATATAATTGCTTACAATATATCGTATGAAAATATTGTATTCAACTCTTTTGGAGGCCGGGATCGGTCGTTCTACGAAGTTAAAACGTTGAAGACATTTGGCATGGAGGCAGGTCTTTGTAATAATTTGGATACATCTCAGTTTTAACGTTCACTGGATTAAGCCTATCTGCTCGGTACAATAGACCAACTTAACTTGGTATGCAAATTGCTCATTTCTGTGTTTATTTACACTTCTGAGCAATGTAATATTTTGGTTTCATTGTCATATATCAGAATGTATTGTTTCGTACCTAAATTCCTAAATTCACCTGAAAAGACCATATCCCTCAAAAGTGTAAATGAAAATTGAAATAGCAATTTGATTTGCATGCCTGGTTAAGTTGGTATATTCCGGTATAATGTACGATTCTTACTTTGGCGTTCGAGATCTAATGAAAAACACGCAAAAACATCATTGAATTTTAATTTCTCTGGGGCTGCACTATTCCAAAAATCAGGTCGTATTCATAATACTTCACCTATGAAGACATTTACGTCATATCTTTCAAGTCTCTGTATAGTCACCCAATGCAAATCTCCGCATTCTATTAATGGATACAATTTTAATTTTACCATCATTGCGCAATGATTACTTTTTCCTGAGATTAGTTATTTTAAACATGGAAATATTACGCTAATATTTTCTAACGGAAGGAGTGGGCTACCTTGCACGATATTTTGGGAAAACACTTGTCATACCTCGACAATAGACAGTAACTAAACAAATGCAAACAAAAGCGCAAATAAATTATTGTTCAGCAGCATTATTCTCCCCTTGAGCAATAGAAAAGTAAATCGAGCGATCTCATAATCGTGTGTATCACAACTTGATGAGAAATCAAATCACAATTTCACTCGCTCTTTTTGCAGCTACAAATACAGTTCTTTTTTCCCAAAACTAGCGCGACAAGTTCTTTGTATAGGTTTGCATGGCGATAAAACATAATACTTTAGTTTGTGGAAACACCACGTAAATTTATTACTGCAAATGTTTCGATCCGTAAGCCCGGATCTTCATCAGTGCTAATGATATATTAGCACTGATGAAGATCCGGGCTTATATGGGTCAAAACCTTTGCAGTAATAAATTTACGTGGTGATTCCACAAACTAAAGTATTATAATAGCGCGACAGTTCACGTAAATGTTAATTGAATATCAGAAAAATGCAATCACCTCTCTGTTTAAATAGCCTTTATACCTAAACAGATTTGATGACATGGCTTCATGAGGAACGACTGCTACTGTTAGCAGAAACGCTTGAATGTGTGATTGAAAAAAAAAATCATTCCTCGGTTTACTTTACATTGTCGAGAGGACGACATGTATACCAACAGTAGGCATACAGTATTATATCTGTACTGTACAAGGCGTCAGAAATCTCTCAAACTGGGGAGAGCAACCACAAAAATTTGCTAAACGCACAACAAAACAATTATTACAAAGGCCTATCTCTCTACCGAATGCAATGTCTGCATGCATGCGAATTTTTAACACCATATATACGAAACGCATATATTGAACGGTGGATTATATAACGCATCAGACCGAATATTCTCGCCGCCGTATTTTGAACCACCGATCCCGATAGAATTCTCGGAGACATGCAACATTAAAAAACTATATATTTTGTTGCCGGGAAATATTGACAACTTACAGATAGATCACATTAAATAGATTCTGGTTGATTAGAGAGTCTTTGTTTCAGTGATTCGTTCTCTTCTTTTAGTCTCTGGTTTTCGCTAGTTAAATTCTGTATTGTCAGTTTTAATTTTTTCACGTCTGCATTGACGTCTTGCAGAAGATCTGTTTTAATTTGTACAACTTGATTCTAATTAAGGTGAAAAGAAAAAGAAATAAGGTATTAGTCTAAAAACCTTGTTTCTAGGAAAAGGGTTATTCGTGAAAGGGTTATACGACGAAAAGGGTTATTCATAATAATATTAATAAATGTTCCCGGATCGTAAAATATTAAAATATTTATTTAATATTTTACGATGTGACCGGAGCCGGAGCTCAGAGCTATAATTCGGCCGGAGCCGGAGCTGAAAAACCGGAGTTTCTACAGCACTACTGATATATGTGTAAGTCTGATATGTCTTGGCATGAAAAATGATCGGATTGATAGGATGTTGCAGTCAATTGTAGTGTTTGTATAAGCAATTGTGTTCCTTCTTCTAACTCGTAGTTTCAGGGTACTGAATGAATACCTCTTTCCGAAACGTGCAGTTTACATCTCGAATCTTAAATTTGTACCATGCAGCTCAAGTACAGTACAAGGCAATATAAACCACTGGAGTAGCAGTCAGGTACGACGACAAAATCTGCAATTATCGCACCGTGCAGGCCTCGAACTTTTAACGGCAGCACTGACCATGATTTGTGGCAAGAAGTTTTAGACCAGTAAAACTGACAATTAATAACACTGGATTTAAATAGGCAGAATCTGATCTTTGCGTTTCCAAAATTAGGGTGGAACACACAGGGAATCACTTTGGTTGCTGTAGAGGCATGTTTTGTAAAATATAAAGATGTTTATATGCCTTAAATTCCATGCAATATATAACTTAATTTATAACCTACCAATACTTTTATGGCTGAAAAATTGTTCTTATAGTTTTTTTTACAGTTATTTAGCTACCATTTACAGGCTTTCAAAAGGGATGCAATAGACAAATATGGCTAACGTTTGTTTATACCCATTTCACAACTTTACATCACCCACATGCCTAGTTCGTATTGTTCTAGTATACAGAGCATAGAATAGAACAGAACAAAAGTAACTAAGCTTTAGAATTATCTAATATGTACTTATATGAATATTAAAACTTTTACCTAATTATGCTTAGTTACTTTTGTCCTATTCTATGCTTCTGTAAACTAGAACAACCGTAATTATAGGCATGTGAGTTATCTAAAGTTGTGATTTGGGTAGCAACGATGTAAACAACGTTAGCCAAATTTGTCTATGAATCAAATTCCTGGGCTTGTTAATGTTAGTCATGCGGTGGAATGAGACTATTTTTTCATTCCGAATGCATTCACAAATATAAAATATTTTCTAGAGTTGGACTATGTAGTTGGACTATTGTGTTAGACTTTTAGAAACTCATTTATATGCTCGATATTTTTTATTGAAATATATAATATATACAGTGTAGGTTTTTAAAAATATATTTGCATTGCAGTTTAATCGAGGCTTGCGATAAATCGCACTTGCGTCATTGCGTGTGCCTTAAAATTCGACCGATTTTAAATCAAACTACAGTAAGACAATGTACTGTACTGATTAGTCACAGACATGCTCCATGAAAAATATAGAAATTTTAGAAAATACACTAAACTTCAGTGCCAAAAAATTAAATTCAGTGCCAAAAATGAAAGTTCTGTGCGAAATAGTAATTCAGTGCCAAATAAGGAATATGTGGCAAGCGCCCAGACAAAAGTTACCTTGACTTAAGTTTTGACTTCTGACAGTTGTGTATTAAGTTGCAAACTTGTATTAAGTTGTAAACTTGTATTAAGTTGTAAACTTGTATTAAGTTGTAAACTACTTCTACTGTAAGTTGCTGTGTCCTTCAAATACAGTAAGACAGCAAATACTGTACCTTATTTTGCATGTGTTTCATGCACGCAAGTGACTATGAAGTCTGCATACTTTTTCATGTCTATCATTAACCATTAAGTGACAGTATTCATAGGCGTACAAGACAGGGGGCAGGGGGAGCAATTGCAACCAAAATCTTTGGAAACGATGGAAATTCGGGCAAATAGGGAAAATCACAATCCCCCATAAAAATTCGGGCAAACTTTCAACTGTGTCCACCCCAGGAAAGCATCAGCATATGCCTATGGCAGCACTCTTCCCTCGATGACTAAAATCATCTTGTGTTAGACAGAGTAAAACAACAAAGTAGGGTGCATCAGGGCACATTGCCACTTGAAGGATTAATAAGTAATGGGTAATATAGAAATTCAATGTTGTTAATACGCCATTAAAAGCATGTTTATAACTACATTTGCTCAAAATTACTCCCAAAATGCGGGAAATGCCATTTCAAAGACACAAAAATTTTAAAAATCGAGGAGGGGGTAACCGGCATGCCCCCAGACCCACAAAGAAATGCCCGGCTTCAGGCGAAAATAAATTTCCCAATTTCAGGTAAACGCGGATTTTTTTACTTCTGGCTAACACCCTGATACATTGCAGTACCCATAACCTATACATGGCAGTACCCTAGTATACAGTATATACATGAACTTGTGGTTAGAGCTCGACAACTGGTAGTGTTGTGCAAACTCTGGGTTTTTCACCTCCAACTCCAGCAGAAAATTCCCAGCTCCGGCAAATTCGTGAAAATTCGAAATTTAATGGAAATTTCACATTTCAAAGTGGAAGCACTAACTTTGTTTTTGATTTTAAACACTTCGCACAAACATTTTGTACTACAGTATGTTTACGGCAAGCCTACGCACAGTATCAATGTGAGTATTTACTTTTTCATCGATGGATTCAGGTTTTTTTGCCGATGTCCGACTCACAGTAGTTTGAAGCACAAATAAGTGCTGCCGGAGTTGAACAAAGTCCGGCAAAATAGGCCCAAAGTCCGGCTCCAGCCCTGGTGCACAGCACTAATAACTGTCCTCTGTAGCTCAGTTGGTCAGAGTGCTGCACCGGAATCACAGGGCCGCAGGTTTGATTCCTGCCAGGGACCTAAAGTTGCATGTTCCTGGTTAGGTCTATTAAATGTCTAAGAAATGTATATCAATTTCCACGCAATAATAATGGGCGGACCATTGAAACCGAGGTGAAAATTCCCCCCAAAAAAATTCGTGCAAAGAAAAATGCCTGGAAAAAAAATTCGTGCAGCCATTATGTCAGAGAAAAAAAATTCGTGCAAGGTTAAATGCATTAAAAAAAATTCCTGTAGAGACATGAGACTGAAAAAAAAAATTGTGCCGCAAAAACTTTATACCCCCCCCTCCCGGGATTTCTAATGGTCCGCCCCTAAGTAATGGGTTCTCATGCAATTTGGAAAAACTAATACTCATGAGTTTTTCAAAGACCTGTGCAGTTTTGATCATCTTTGAAAAACATGTGTACGTTTTTTTCCAATTTGCACTTGAAACTAGTTATTAAAACTGTGTACACAAACATATTAAAATCAAACCAAAGATTAACATACCATAGCTTTTTTAATTTTTTCAGCAACTATTTCATCTTCAGAAAGCAATCTGAAAAAATTAGATATTCATTAACGATTAAGTACTACAGATTCTGACTAATTTTATGCCAATCATGGACGATACAGTATATGTGACAGCCAGGGGTGGATCCAGCAAGGTTTTTGGAAAGCAGCCGAGTGTTTCTCTATAATTCTTTAAGGGGAGGTGGGAGAATATTCAAATGAATTGGCTTGCTAACAACTCAAGCATTGAAGGCACAAGCTCCCTAGGGGGTTCAGAGGTATGCCCCAAGAACATTTTGAAAATTAGAACCCTAGAAATGCCATTTTCTGCAATATGGGCATTGAATTATGAGCTTCAGTTTGACTTCAAAAAAGGAAATACCTTGGAAATTGTACCATATTTCTGAATTTAATTTTTTTGCACCCCTGTTGACCAAGACCAAAAGGGGTGCACACCCCTATGCAACCCCCATAAATCCACCCCTGGTGACAGCTAATGATAGCGGGAGATACAACTACCTGGAAAATATAAACAGAACTTCGACATTTCGAGAGTGGGAAACTTACTCCCATCTCTCTTCCAATGTCCTAGATTATTTTGCTATTATTGAAGCCATTTCCCCCTCCTCTCCCCCCTTCTCTGTACAGCACTAATTTCATCCATGGGGGAGTGTTGATCTTTCTTGCCGGAACAGCCCATTCAATCCTACAATACAAGATCCTGCAACAACCTTCTTCCGAAAGCCAACACAAACTGGGATAAACTTAGACCAACTAAGTATGCTTCAAAAGACTTCAAGAATTTGGACAGCTCCATTACAAATGTTAGTTCTCTCACTCAATTTAAGACTCAATTAAATCTACTTCGTACACACAGTGTAGTTATTGTATGCTTGTGCCCAGCTGCTCAATGATTTTTTCTTTCCGACCTTTGTGCCATGCATGTACAGTACGTATATTTTGTACAGTTTAAATATTGACAATATTGTAAATAATTGTGGTTTTGATGCAGGATCCCAATGAAAAACATGTATGTGATCTGGGTATCCTGAATAAATATAATTATTATTATTATTATCCAAGTGAAATAACTACAATGTGTTGTTCCATAAAAGTTCCACACTCTCACTATGGAGGAATTTTCTGCCAACCAGAGGGGAAGGGAGAAAATCTACAGTGACTCACTGTACTTCTGAAAAGAGTGAAATGTACATCAGATGGGGCTGGGAGTAGGACTGTTTGGTATACCGATATACCGAAAATATCGGTATTAAATCAATATCGGTATATCGATACCGGATATTCAACCATACCGATATACAGAAATTTCAGATATACCAGAATTTTTCGGTATACCGTGTTAAATTTACCAACTATGTGGCGAAACCATAACCTTTATTTTACTACTGAATGGCAATTCAAAGAACTTTCTACTGCAATGATTTAAACTTTCCACTTCAGTCAGATTTTACACTAAGTATGTGTTGTTCGAAACATGTTCGAAACAGCTTCGAAATTATCGTTTTCCCTTTTAGAATTACTCAAAATTTCCTTCAAACTTCCACTAAAGAATTTTCCTTTATAATTATCAAAGGAAAACCGGTATACCGATAATATCGGTATAACTTTTTCGGTATACTGATACCGGAAATTTCTCACACCGAACATTCCTAGCTGGGAGTCCAATTCCTCCATGGAGTCACGAGGAGGTGTGGTTACTAACTTCCTGACCAAGGACCTTCACTTGAAACATTCAAGTTCATTAATCCGCACTTTTTTGGCTTGCACAACTTTTCTCTTTCGAGTTACAATATATAAATCATTAACCCTTTACGTGGGCAATGTGCTCTATTTTACTCTACCAAATGCCATACTATTTTACACATCAAGGGGAGAGTGGTGCCACTCACAGCCCTTCAGGTAGCCGTTTGAAGTCCTGGGTAATAATAATTTGGGTATGGCCAATACTGTTTTGCACGACTGAGGCTCCGGCTATTAATTGATGAGCGAAGTGCGTATGCAAAGAATGGAAGGTAGAAGCTTCAAGGGCGCTATGAGTTGAGTGGTGGGCAAAGGCTTGCAAGCTTTGTCTATTTCGTATATTGTCCGAGTGCAAGACCGGGCTAAAAATTTCAGCCTGTCATGACTGCAAGTACCGGCGAATTACACACAGCCTCTGGCAAATGGCTGTCAAATGTCTTCTTAGTACTGGCGAAATTCGCTGTTCACCGGCCTAAAACAAGATGGGTGCACTAAATATGTTAATCAGCTACACTATCTGCCTAGATGCATCCTTTTAACTCTTTAATAATATACGTAAAAATATTACTAGACTGTGGTCAGTTGATTTCAGTGAAGTTAATCTCAAACAACAGTGCAAAATTCTGTAACAACAGTGCAAAATTCTGTAACAACAGTGCAGAATTCTGTAACAACAGTGCAAAATTCTGTAACAACAGTGCAAAATTCTGTAACAACAGTGCAAAATTCTGTAACAACAGTGCAGAATTCTGTAACAACAGCATGCAGTTTTGTGTGAGAACAGTGCAGAATTCTGTAACAACAGCAGGGTTTTCAGTTTTGTGTGAGGCTTTGGCTAATGGCGATGAAGCTATGGCAATAGATATTATTTCTACCGATGGAATTTACAAATTTGGGCGAGTACATAGAGACGTGACTAAACATAAAAGCTCTGGCGAATTTGGGTGGGGTTGAATGAAAACGTCTGGCGAAATTCGCCGTTCGCCGGCCTAAACTGAAAACCCTGCAACAGTGCAAAATTCTGTAACAACAGCCCTAATGCACCCTACCTCGTTATTTTACTCTGTCTAACACCAGACGATTTTACTCATAATGTCTGACCATGTTTGACCAAAATGTGAGTTGGCCTGACATATTGTCAAACCAAGTTTTGAAGAATATATTGAACTCTGGATATTGTTGCATGCTATTATTAGGCACGGTTTAGGTTTAGACGCTGTGCTTTTTGTGCATAAATTTGTTGCGTACATTATTTATCATACCATTATGATATATTAGCAATTCAGCACTGAAATTGCTGATATACAGTAGTGTACTTGTATTTTGGCACGATACAATGAAGTCCAACGTCTAAATCAGTTGCCGAACTCCATATTTAATTTGATTAGGTTCGGAGCATGAAAAGTTCGCCATCTAAACTGGGCCTTAGAAAATGACAAATCATCCAGGATGAAATTTTTTCATATAACCAAAAACCAGGTTGCCTAGACTGTTGTCTACTTACTAGTTGTAACGGGCACAAAAAATGGCTTAAAAAATTCAATAAAATTCATTGGGTTACCGTGAAAATATTCTAGCAACTGTTTTAGTAACCATAGGTGTTTATTCAAACTATGTGAGGCTGAATCTTGTGTTGTGAACAAACTAGCAGTGATGTATAAGTCTTTATATATGTCAACCACTGCTAGTCTGCATTCACAACGCAAGATTGAGCCTTGCAGGTTTGAATAAATACCCATGTCTACAAAAATAGTTGCTAGAATATCTTCACGGTAACACAATGATTTTAAGCCATTTTAGTCTTTTTTGTGCCCAATATACAACTATCTGTTGGGTCTCCGATGGTCTAACTTCCCCAAATGTAGCCCACAAATCAAATATCTGAGCACTCAATCAAAATTATTTTACAAGTTATATATGCCCCAAATAACTGAAAGCATATTTCCTTATCTCAAATGTGAAATGAAAAAGACCTTGACCAGTTTATCAAAGATATTTCAGGAAAGTAAACATGGCATTATGCAAAAACAAACTGCAAATTAAGCTGTGAATTTTTTCTTATTTCTATTCTCATTAGCACCGTGAAAGCAATTAACACAATCATTCGAATTTTGTGTAAGATTGCAAAAGCCCACAAAATAATTTTGATCATATACATAAATTGTAAAATTTTGCAATCCTGCTAAACTCGCGACAATATAAACAAATGCAGTCCCAATATTTTGTGTAGCACATAGATATAATCAAAACAAATTGTGTCAATCTTAGAAACAATAAACGCGCTGCAATAAAATATTCAAAAAGAACTGTGTATGTATAAATAATCATATTACAAACTTAGACTGCTTTATTTGCACATAGATTATTAGTAAAGATACGGTCACCGAATGGATTTTACACATTTTGGCAAAATTCTTCGGGTGCTTGGCATACTAACCCTATAAAAACACTAGGCAACAACTAATATGTTAGTCCATGCAATGGTCAGGGACTCGCTTGAATTTCCAACATTTCTCCGCGGGGATTTCTAAACATTTCTGCTCTAGATAAACTTTCTATTAAAATCGCTTTTGTTATGGAAAATAAGCGTTTACAATTAACTATAATTATGTTGCTCGCTGGAGGCGAAGAAAGTGTCTGCATTACTGTAGCACATGACAAGCACGTTTAGTATGAGTGCCAAAACAAAACGCTTCTCGGGTTGCAAATAGCACACAAAGTTTGACAAAATAAAGTCTCTCAGAGCTTACCTTAACGTCGCTTCGTCAGTCAGGGTCCCCGTGGGTTCGTTTGGTAGACTTTCGGGGTTTTCTAGGCCAGACGAATTATTTATGACCAAATCCCTACTGTCGTTGTCTAGCTTTGAAGAACCTGGGTTTCCGGCAAATTCATTCGCAGTAACGATACCGCTTTTGTCCTCATAATTTTTAATCTCACTGCCTATAGTCGGCCGTGTATTTCCCTCCTGCGAAAGCAGGTCGAAGTTAACGTCTGTAGGCTTAGATACAGCCCCACTACTCGCACTAGAAGCTAGTAAATTTCGAGTTGAACTAACAGATTCGGGCTCCGCTCTGTCATTCACATCTGAAATTAATTTACTGCAGCCGGGTAGGTCTGCTAGAAGATGTTCGGCCGAAGGCGGCGGGTATTTAACAAAATCCCAGCATCTCCAACCGCCTCTAGTGTACGGTTTGCTATCATAGCGAGGTATTTTTACAACTTTAAACCTCGATGTACCGTTTCCATTGCCAGAAGAGTGCGTTAAAGTTGACTCGAGGTTCGCCTCTTCTTCCTCGAGGAATTCACTTTCGTTAAGTTCGTCCATATCATCATAGCCATTGCTATCACCGCGAGATCGACCTTCCGTCGACTCGATACTCGTTACCTGAAACGAGATTTTTTTCTTCGGTTGCACATTATTAATCGCTGTTGTATCAGCGCTATTGTTTTGCTCAAATACACCGACATTTTCGGCGCTGGGCTGCTCGGCATATAAACCCTCATCCGGTCTAGTTTCAACATCATATTTTAAGTCAGACTTGACGCTTGTTATTTGAAAGCTTGTCGTCTTTTTAGGCTCTACGTCAGTGTCGATGTTAGCTACTGACTGTTTTAAATCATTGCCGTCGTTTGCTGTATTCTCCACAGGCTTTTCTTCTATGATCTGAGCGACATTACAACAGTCGTCCACACCAGTGTTGTCTAAGTGTTGTTGCTCACTCATATCCCTTCATAATTCTTCGCAACTACGACTCGGAGAAGACAGCTTTGAAGCCCATTCGGAGCTCTCTGCCACAAAAACAAGTCACCTACGTAAACCAAACTTCTATACAAACCATAAAACGCGTGTAAAAGCCAACAAACGAAGAAAATAGCACCTGAATTAAAACTATCTGTACTCCATGTTTTGAGTTTTCCGAGGGTGACGTTGGCGCTTCACTGAACTTGGCGCCAGATTTCTTCCGCTCGCGCGGTCATTTACTTCCACACCGCTCTTCACCGCTCCAAAACTTCAAAACTCAGAACCCGTGTAAGCCACCAGTGCAAACTTTAAAAAAATATTTTGCAAAATGCTGTTACACTACAGTTTCCTTTACTTTCAATTAATAAAAGAAGTAGTTGTCGGAAGGAAATTGTCATGCCATATTGGTTAGTTTCACTAAGCGATACGGGGCAACACGTGGTGTGACGTGTGGCAATAATGGAATAAACGCTAATATAAATTTAGTTCGATAATTTTTAGATAATTTAGACTGCGAGCAATCCCTCTATTTTCCTTCGTTTTATTGTTTCCCGGACTAAGATTGAACGCGCGGGAAAATGGCAAAAAGGGGCGGAGACGAGAGTCTATAGATAATTGTAGGAAGGCTGCATGGGCGTACGGGAAGGAAAAAATTAGGGGGGCGCGCGCGGAAAGAAATTTGCCCGACTTTTTCGGATTGTGCCAGAGTTGTCAAAAAAAACTTTCCGGAGAAA